TTTGTTGACGCCAAAAAGGCCACACAATTTCCGCCCCACTGGGGACTGTCTTAACATGCAAGAGCAGCCTAGATTTCCAACTTAAAGAATTTAGGGGCATGTTTGATTTGCAGGGTCTGCATTTTTTCAGGTCTCTCGCATCAAGAACTTCATCAAGAGTTCTCCCTTGATTACTTCCGCCTTGGACCACACCCAACGAAACAAAGAACCAGAAAAACAAACTTAAAAATAATGAAACAATCAAAATGCAGGAAGCTTGCAGAAGAAAGCCAGGAAACAAGTTCGGCTTTTGCGTTTCCAACTGTGAGGTTGCGGCTCCTCTGAAAACTTGTTGGTTCTTCCTGGCGAATTTGGGCATCTGGGCCCCTATTGAATCATTAAATAGGGACCCCCAATCCCCCCTTTCACAACTCAGATCCCCCTTCAGAACTCGTCACACATACAGAAACAAAAACGAAGCGGTTCGGGCTGCGGGTGTAGGATTCCGAGCTCCCAAAGGGAAGGAGTGATATGAGGCATGAGCCGGCGTTTGGGGTTCAAAGTGCAGGGCTAAAAGTGCAGGTCTCAGTTCTCCGGGCTCAGACCTTAGGGCTCCGGGCTCAGGGCCCGAGGCTTCGGGCTCAAAGCTTCGGGCGTAGGGCTTTCGGATGTAGGTTTATGGTCTTGAGTTGACGGTGTAGGGTTCGGAGAGTCGTGAGAAAGCTTTCCGTTGCCTCCTCGGCACGTGCGGAAGGGTCGGGCAGGGAACAGCGAAAGCCGCGACCTGTGCGAAAGAAATGCTCCTAAATTTCAAACCTGAGTTGCTTCATCCTGCTCTCACGCCCCGCCCTGTTCCCTAAACCCGGAGAACTCTGAACCCTAAACCCTAGACCTTCAACAGCCCCCAACCCTAAACTTGGGGATGGAGACTGGCCGAAATTCTAGACAGAGGCATTGGCTTGTGGGGGGTTGGGGTCACGCAAGAGGCTTGAGAAGGTAGACAAGAAGGCAACACTTTAAACGCAACATGGTTTGGTCGGGTTGGCTTTGCACCCCCGTATCGTCCAAGCTCAGAATTCAGAAAGCCAGGCCTCTGCCGGACCTGCATTTGCTACAAAAACACGCTTTCTGCCAATAATTTTGTAGGTTTCGCCAAAGGAGCCAGGCTGAGTTCTGTGCAGCACAAGGCCGCTTAGGGCTGCGGGCTGTTGTTGAAGGCTGCGGCCTCTTGCCCACTTTCGGCTGATCCAAGTCAGGAGGCCCTAAACCTCCTTAAACCCTTAAACTCTCACAACCCCTAAATCCAAAAAAAACAACATTTAAAAGCAAAAACAGCAGCTTCGGTCAAGTGGGAGGGTGAACCACGCAGGGTGCGAGCCAGTGCTGACTTAGCACACTTCCAACAACCATCCCCTGGGCTGGGCTGATGGGTTTAGGGCTTGCAGGCTTTAAGGCTCCGGGCTGAGGGTTTGCAAGTCCTCAATCATCCACCCTAAGCCCCACACCCTAAACCCTAAACCCTAAACCCTAAACCCTAAACCCTAAACCCTAAACCCTAAACCTAAACCCTTAACTCCATCTCGGACGATCAAAGTCCCCGGGCCGCCAATGGTCATGTTGACCAGCGTCTCCTCTTGCCCAGGCAACTTCTCCCAATCGGGGTCCTAGAATCCCCCTTAGAGCCCCCCCGGAACCCTCACCAAGATGTAGCCCCAAAAGCCTCAGAAGGAGCTCTGAGACAGCACGTCCCCACCGGAAAAACCTGGCAGAGTGGTCCTCGGGTCGACCCTCGTCATGTCTTGCACCTCGCTTCTGATGTCTGCAGGGGCTTGGGGTCAAGCTTAGGCCTTGGGGTCGGTCTTCAGAGATACGGGCCAAAGAGGGGAGTTCAGGCTATGTATACAGTGTACAGCGCACATTTGTGCATCGGCAGAAGGGGGCGAACCATCCAATCTGGCCCTCGCTCCCTCGCTTGAAAGGGGGAACCCATACTCTCCATACTCTGGGTTTTAGGGGCTGGTTTGGGAGCTTCTTCCCTAAACCTAAACCCTACCTAAACCCTAAACCCCAAACCCTAAACCCTTAAACCTAAACCCTAAACCCTAAACCCTAAACCCTATGAACCCGTAAGCCCTAAAACCCTAAGCCCTGCGGCTTAGGGTCTGGGGAGTCTAGGGCTGGATGTGCAGGCCTGCACTTGACGCGGCCTGGTTGCCGGAGTCCAGGGCAAGCCTCATCATCTACGAGCAGCAGGAGCTTTCTATCTGAAAAGGCATGTGAGTTTAAACCCAGGTATACTGAAGACACACACACACACAAGAGCAAGGAAGAGGCACCTACCCAACCACCCAACCACCCACCTACCCACCCACGCACGCTCACTACGTTGGGTGTAGAATGTGGGCCCTCAAGGCGTCGTGCTGCCCAGATGGTAAGAGCAACTAGACACAAGCGCGAATACACATAATGTCACAAGTAGTAACAACAACAGTAGTAGCAATAAACAACTATTGAAAGACAAAAAAAGGCAACTAAGTGAAACGCACGTGAAGGACAAATGAAGCAACAAGAATACCGTTATCACGATGGATGCTAATAAGGGGGTTGGGCCTGTAGACTCCTTGCTGGGTCTCCAAACCCGAAAGCATAAAACGCAGTACACGAACCCCTTAGGCCCAAAACCTCGCAACCCCAAACTCTCTGAGCTCTAAGCCCCAAAGACCTCAAACCCGAAACTTAACAAAACTTGAGAGCCCGTCAGACCTGAACTAAACAAAGGCATTGTGCCACTGAAGCGCTGTACCACGAAGCTCTGACTGCCCACCTTTTGACAGGAAGGGGTCATGCTGCTTATGGGGCTTCAGAGGTTGGGGGTTTGAAGGGTTCAGGGTTTAGGGTTCAGGGTTCAGGGTTTAGGGTTTAGGGTTTAGGGTTTAGGGTTTAGGGTTTAGGGTTTAGGGTTTAGGCTTTCGGGGTTGAAGAGTCTTGGGTTGGTGTTGGGCTGCGCTTTGTATCTGGGAAGATCACCGCCTCTTAGCCGCACTCTCCAGTTTTGTCTGCTGGGAAAATATGGGCAAAAGAAATAATCCATCAAGGTCCCATACCCGTCCAGTGAGATCTCCTCGAAGCCCACTCAAAGCCCTCAAGCCAAAAGCCCCTAAGCCCCCCTCAGCAAGCCTAAGCCCTGAGCCCTGAACCCTGAACCCCGAACCCTAAACCCTGAAGCCTAAGCCCTGAACCCTGAACCCGAACTAAACTGGAACTCTAAGCTGCCTCAAGCAGCAGGCTGGCGACCGTGGCGGCCCAGAGCCTGTTCAGGAAGAGCCTAATAGGGTTTAGGTTATAAAGGCCGGCGGCCTCTTTATCTGCTACCCTTATACCTTAACATAGCCCCTAGATACCCTTGTAAGAACCCCCTATAAAACAGAAACCCTACTTAAAGAGACCACCAACCCATATAAGGTTTAGGGTTTAGGGTTTATGGTGTAGGGCTTCGGGTTTAGGGTTTGGGGTTTAGGGTTTAGGGTTTAGGGGCATGTGGAGGCTTAGGCTGGGTTGGTGATTTGAGCGCTGGGTTGGGGTTTTGGGGTTTTCTGGAACGAAGCTCTTGCACAAACGCTTCCCAACAAAGTGTGCTAAAGAAATTGCTCCCAGGTCGTCCCTCCAGCTACCATAAGGCCCTGCCTGAGCCCCAACACCCACGCTTCAGAGGCTTTGGGTCTCTCCTTCTTCTTTTCGCGCCAGCATAGGCCAGCCCTTAATTTTCGTGGCTTGTAGGGCCTGGGTGAAAAGGCTGGAAGGATGACGAAAGCTGGCTCTCATGGCCTTTGCTTTTGAACATTTCAGAAACTCTGCCACTGGCACAACATGTCATTGGCCCCAGACAGTAAGGCAGTTTTTAGTAGCTTGAGGGCCTCTGGCTAGTGTTAAAGCTATGCTGCTGACGGAATCGTCATGCAAGCGTGTGGGAACTGCTAGGTTGGGAAGTTGCCCAAACTCTGCATGGCAACAAGATATCGAATCCCTCATGACTGTCAACTGCCTTCGACCCTCGACCCCAGTCGCCAGTTTCTCCAAGCAAATTTCGCGGAGGCTGCCCAAGCAAACAAAGGTCTTGAGAGAGCCTACACTACAATTTCTTCAAGGCTTCGGGGATGGGGTCCTGGCCTAGGGACCTCTTGACATGGGGGGGCCTTAATTGCCCTTTGTGAGAAGGTTTACTTGAGGGTTGCTGAGTAGTTCTGAGTCGCGCAACGAGTAGGATAACGATCCGCTTTTTGGAGGGGCGGGGACAAGCACCACTGAAAACAACCAAGGACACTACACTCTAAGCATAGAGGCTTGAGCATGTAGGGATATGGGGGCTTGCGAAATTAGCGGGGGGGGGGGGGGGGGGGGGGTACCTTATTTGGGTCCTTATACAAAAGGGAATTCTATATTTTGAGGTTTATATTGAGGGGGTCCCTTTTTCGTACACCCCCATATAGGGATCGAGAGCTGTAAGGCCATGGATGCAGGACGGCTAGCTGGTTCTTAGTAGGGAATGAGGGAATGGGTACGCTCTATAATCTCCTAACGGTTTTTTGTAGCGCTTAGGGTTTAGGGCTTAGGGTTTAGGGGTTTGGGTTTAGGGTTTAGGGTTGTTCCCTACTAAGAACCAGGGGGACTGTTGTGAGACGTGGCTCGCACAGGCCGGGCCAGTATCGGCTCGGCTCGTCGCCTGTCAAGGCTCACAAACCTAAACGCCCCTTATGGCCCCTTATCCGCTAAAGTGTTTAGGGTGTAGGGTTTCGGGTTGAGGATTTAGGGTTGAGGGTGTAGGGGAAGGCGGGGGGCTAGTTGAGGGTGCTGAGAGCTGGAGGTTCACTACATCGTGACTCTGATAGCTTCTAGGTCCTAGACGCAGCCTCGGATGCAGCCTCTGCCTTCTGCGCGGTCTGAGTTCACGGGGGGGTTTAGGGTTTAGGGTTTTGGGTTTTGGGTTTAGTGTCCCAGTCGCAGGAAAATCCAGGCCTTGACACTCAGCGCTGCGCCATCTGGCCCTTGAAGAGGTGGTACCTGCTTCGGGCATCATCTGGGAAAGTGCCAAAAGGCAGGAACGGGATACCTGAACCATCCTAAAACACTACTAGGGGCTTCGAAGTGAGAGTGGCCTGCTCTAAGGCCTGCGTCTTGGAGAGTTTCATACGTCACAGATTTTGTTGAACTGCGACGCATCAGCTTCTGTATTGACACAGGATTGAGGTGCGATAGGCTGTAAGATTTCAGGTGTCGAGGTTAAGGATCAGAGGAGGTCAGAGCCTGGAGGAAGGTCTTCGGAACCCAAACTTCCAGGGCTTAGAGTTCAATCCTCCAACCTATAAACCCTAAGCCCAGAACCCGAAACCCGGAGCCCGTTTCAACAGCACCCCAGGCCGGCCTGACGTCAGTGACCTGGAACTCGGGATCATTCTCCTCGTCAGGAACACCCGCTTGCTTCCTCCGCACCTTCCTGGAAGCAAGAAGCCGAAGGGCTAGCTCTCTCACTTTCTCTCATCGCTATTCCTTCTTTCTTCTCTCTTATCTCTTTTTTCTCCTCTCTTCTCTCTTGTCTCCTTTTCTCGTATCTCTTCTCTGCTCTCTGTCTTCCTTTCTCTTGCCACCCTTCCATTTATCTTTACTTATATTCCTTGTCTCTCTCGCCTCTCCCTCCCTCTCTCCCTCCCTCTCTCTCCTCCTCTCTCCTCCTCTCTCCTCCTCTCTCCTCCTCTCTCCTCCTCTCTCCTCCTCTCTCCTCCTCTCTCCTCCTCTCTCCTCCTCTCTCCTCCTCTCTCCTCCTCTCTCCTCCTCCCCCCCCTCTCTCCCCCTCTCTCCCCCTCTCTCCCCCCTCCTCTCCTCCCCCTCTCTCCCCCTCTCTCATCTCCCCTCTCTCCCCCTCTCTCCCCCTCTCTCCCCCTCTCTCCCCCTCTCTCTCTCTCTCTCTCTCTCTCTCTCTCTCTCTCTCTCTCTCTCTCTCTCTCTCTCTCTCTCTCTCTCTCCCTCTCCCTCTCCCTCTCCCTCTCCCTCTCCCTCTCCCTCTCCCTCTCCCTCTCCCTCTCCCTCTCCCTCTCCCTCTCCCTCTCTCACTCGCGCTTTCGCTATCCCTCTCGCTCTCGCGCTAACTCTCGTTCTCGCGCTAACTCTCGCTGTTGCTCTGGTTCCTGTGATGCAACATGCCGCTACCCAGGCAGTTACACTTCACAACTCACGATCGTGTGAAGCCTTGCTGTGTGACGCCCAACGACCTTCCGTACAGTGGCCATACCGCCATGGAACAATGACACTCTTGCCAGTCGCATCTTTTCGTGGAGACATCAGATCCACGCACTGCCCGGCACTCATCTCTACATCTCTCCTCTGCCAGTTCCACCGAGTGCATGCACATGTTTCCTCAACCCCAAAACCCCAAAAAATCAAACCTTAAACCCTAAACCCTAAACCCTAAACCTTTAACCCTAAACCCTAAACCCAACCCCAGCCTCCTCAGCAACTCCTGAACCCGAGTGCCCTGTAGCGCCCAGGCGCAAGATGTGGCGCGTCAGCTGCTCCCGGTTCATGGGATAGCAGAAGGGCTCCATCTCCTCGGTTGCATGTGCTGCTATGTGGCTTGTCACGCTTTGAGTTCCTTTTTTCTTTCTTATCTTTCTTTCCTTTTTTTGGTGGGGGGGGGGGGGTGGGGGAGGGTCGACGATATGCTCAAGTCAAGTCCCCGGAATTTGGGACAACATAGTGGGCTCCGGTTCTTTGGGGCAGCGGGTATTCATGAACATGATTCTGAAAACAACAAAAAGCAATAAGTTAAAGAGAGGCTCAGGGCTTCAGAGGGGAAGTGTGATCTGCTGCTTGGGCCGTCACCATCATTCACACGTGTAAACCAGGTAATTAACCCTGAACCTCCTGCGTTTTTGGAACACCCTTACAGATTGAAACTACCATGGCCACTCATTCAAGAATCGCCAACCAAGAATCCAAGAACCAGCATTTTCAGATACGGCCTAGAAGCAGAAGCCTATCTTTCGACCCCCACATGCCCAGCCCCCCCCCCCCCCAGGTTTAGGGTTCAGAGTTCCGGGTTTAGAGTTCAAGGTTTTGGTTCCCAAACATAAAAGGACAGCGGCCAAGTCGCCAGTGCATCCCGGACGGATGGATTGTTCCAGCTGTCCTTGGCAGAGGGTTACGGGGTGGGGGTCCCAAGCCTAAACTGTAAGTACAGTATAGGGGCTTGGCGAGATTGCAAATACTCTGAGCTGGTTAAAACCAGAAGGAACCATCAGAAGACCCTCCAGCCCTGAACCTCAAACACGACAGATCCCTAGACCCTAAACCCCTAAACCCCCAAACCCCGGCAGCCTCAAACCCCTGGACCCCTGACCCTGACCCCGTAAACCAACACTAAGCCCCTAAACCCCTATAAAACCCCCGAAAACCCCCCCTCCATCCGAATCCCGACTGCCCTTCAAGTGCAGCCCGCGGTTCATTCAGATTCGAGACCCGCGCCCTCCAGGAGACGATGGGGGCTGCAGGGTTTAGGATTTAGGGTTCAGGGTTTAGGGTTCAGGGTTTAGGGTTCAGGGTTTAGGGTTCAGGGCTTGGGCGTACCGGGCGCCCTGCGCCCGAAAGTGTTTTTGTATCTTCGGGGCTCGTCCCAGGGTTGATCTGTGGAACGGGACTGCTCAACTGTACACGACATTCCAGCTCACCTTGCAGCCCATTATGGCCGAAAGTCGCCCCTGGAAGCTTTCGGGGGCAAGGCCCCCGTTCCCAGGTCGAGTTGAGCACGAGTTCCTGACGCGTTAGGCCCCGAGAGCTCGTTAGCCCTAAACCCTAGACACCAAACCCTAAAACCTAAACCCAGTTCTGGCAACCGCGACCTTGACCCATGAATCCTAGGAGCCTCGGTTCAGTCCCAAAACCTCGGAACCAACACCTTCAAGATTTGTTGATGTTCCGTTCTGCCCTGAACCCTAAACCCTAAACCCCAAACCCTAAACCCTAAACCCTCAACCCTAAACTAAACCCTAAACCCTAAACCCTAAACCCTAAACCCTAAACCCTAAACCCTAAACAACACCGCGGACTCGGGATTCTCGAGGTCTGGGGACCCCGAAACCTCAAATCCTGGGCCTCATGGGTCTGGGGCCCACCGGCGGGTTCACCCAGCCGCCCTCCTTTCCGAAGACCGGCAGGGCCTGGCACACGATTCACATGGGTGGTTGGTTTAGGGTTTGGGTTCAGGGTTCAGGGTTTAGGGCTTAGGGTTTAGGGTTTTCGGTGGTTGCCAAATTCATAGTCCCTTTTTGGGTCCCTTTCTTCATACGGCACCTAATATTTAGGGTACCCTAAAAGGGATCATAATTTTGACAGCCACCCACATGTGTGTGGGTCCGTAGATATCAGGGGCCGAATAATCAAAGGAGAAAACACACACAGGGAGTCGGAGGCCTGACCCATACAGGGGTGGGGGTTGGTGATTAAATAGGGGTAGGGTAGTCGTAAGAAGCATTGCAACGACCGGCGAGTTTGTAGTCAAGGAGGATGCTGGCTTGAGCTGAACGTTCCGAAGGTTGTTCACACTCACGAAGTTCCAATTGCCTTTGTAGTATTGGACTTATTTGTAGTGCAGGGTAATTAGAGCCACACTTTTTGCTTCAGGTACAAGGTGGTACTCTGCATTGCATGTGACCGCAGGGTCCGCAGAGTTTCTACCACTCGTTACACATCTGTCGGCCTGTCTGCCTGTTCAGGGTCATGAGGGTGGATCAGATCCGAAGCTGAGCAAGCTCTTGCACAAAACACACTTCCTGACGATGACAGGCAACAGGCCGAAAACGGTTGAAGTCACAGAAGTTGCATTGCAACGTGCTTCACAACGAAGTCGAAGTCGATGCACTGAAACCAAAAGAGGGTCCCAAGTTGAGTCAGCCTTGTGTTGCAAGACCTCTGCACTTTCCAGCCCTGCTTGCATGTTGGCTCGACTCGTCGGCTAACCGAGCGTGCTCTTCAACCAATGATGTGCCCTCGCGGGCTGCCGGACGCTGCGGCGTTTCGTCTCTGTCCATGGCAGTAGGGCTCCAGGCTATCCCAGGATTTGAGGAGAAGATGATGAGGATCAGGAGAGCAACTTCTTCTGCTGCACCAAGGCCTTGCCAGCGAGGATCGCAGCTGCTGGGTCCATGAAGAGCTCTTTATTGATGTCTTTGCGCAACCGATAGTAGTAATCTGCACGGGCGATTTCCTTCGCTCCATGTGCTTCGTATTCGGACATGTACTGCATCTTGCGGCCCCAATACCACAGGTCCACGCCGCAATCGGTGAGCAAGGCTCCGATTGCCTTGGTAAGGACTGCGCCACAGGCCCGTTTGTCCCTTATCAAGCAGCACATGCTGAAGTCATGGAAGAACGTGCCTATGGCAAGGCCGAAACTTGCAGCTGCCAAAGCACCTGTAGATTTGTCCCAAAGCTCAAAGCAATACATGCGGATACGGTTTGTCGGATCTCGGTCAAGTGCCACCATCACATCAATGAGCTCATCACTTATCCAAGTCCCACCGCGCTCTTCATGGTACTGTCCACAGAGACGGAGGTGACCAGCAAAGTCCTCGTTGCAAGAAAGCTCAAAATCGTTCCTGTATCGCCTGAGCATCTTGCTTCTGCCCCAGGAGGAGGCGCTGCCACAACTGCCCTCCTGCAGGAGGAATACAAATGGTGTCTCTGGGAAGGGGCAGCTGAAGATCTGACGTGCTGGCAAGACAAACAAACCATGCTCCAGCAGCCGCGCAACGAAACCATGCTCCAAGCTCGCCGTCAAGGCGTAATTCCCGGGCAAAGCCAGCAAAGACGGTCCCAGCGGGTCCCGTGGCAAGAGCATGAGCTGGGCTTCTTCCTTGCAGAATCGTCCCATGGGTGGCAGCGTCTTGGTGTTGAAGGTGAGGACCACGTCTTCAGGAAGCACGGCTGCTATCTGCCTTACCTCCACATCCTGAATAGTAGTGCTGCCATTGGCAATGCACTCCACCTTCACTTTTGCATGCTGAAGGAGAGAAGAAGTCTGCTTAGCATCAACAACCCGGCCAGCCCAGTGGCTTCGATGAGCACTGATCAACACGAAGCGGCCATCCCAACGGCTCGCGCCGGGCGCAGAGACAGCCGCGCATGAACTTCCGAAACTGGAACGCGAAGGCTCCTGAGCGCTAGCTAGATCCGAGGTTCCATTGACTGCGTTCACCCCGTTCACCCGACGGGCTGCAAGGATGTACGCCGAGTTGCTGTGCAAACAACGAAAAACACCAACGGCATCGTCCCCGCCACCGCCGCCACCCCTTGGCTGCAAACGGAAACCTGCTGAAGATTCCCCAATCAAGGCGAGAGAGACATCATCAGCGCATGAAGGGCCGTCCGCATCTGCTGGCAAAATGGTGAAAGTAGTCAACGGTGTAAAGGCGGACCTGCACATCCTCGCTACACATCTTGCTACTTCGGCATCTGCACGCTCCTGCCCAACCAGCACATGCCCCTCTTGGCCATTTCCAATCTGCCGGTGGCTGCATCGCACCTCTATTGAATGTGAGGAAGGGGTTACAACCAAACAAGGTGCATCCATGTGAACAAAATCCATGCTCGAGCCGGGAGAAGCTCCAGCTGCAGGTCACAACATTGAAAGCACAGAAACACGTAGACTGACAGATACATCAGAGCCTATGCGCCGACATCCGCAGCCAGGACATATACAGAAAACGAGCCCATCTCTCTAGCCGACGCAGGGTTGAGGACTTTAAGGTTAGCGAAGAAATTTAGGGCACCCCTCCGCAAGGTTTGAAGCAAAGCTCCCCCCCTCAGCATGAGCCGATGCCCTCAACCCCCCCCCCCCCCTCCCCCAGAAAACACCCCAGAAAATCCTGAACAAAAAAACCAGGGGGGTGGCACCTTCGACCTGAGGATGCACACTTCCTGGGTGAGCGGTAGGGCTTTCGGTTCTCCGCTTTTTGGAATCTTCGGCTTGTGTTTCAGCTGCTCCCCTAGAAACTTCGACTTGGAAATTCAAGGGCCGTGAGGGACACGAAGGACACTTGCTTGAAGCCTGGGTGTAGGGTTTCGGGTTCTGTGGATACCAAGCAAGGCCCTGTTCTTCTCACCTCTAAAGGCCCCCTATCGAGCCTTGGGGTCTAAGCCCTAGAACCCTAAATCCCAAAGCCTCACATCCTATACCCTTGTTCTCCAGTCCCACTGAAACCCTAAACCCTCAACCCTAAACCCGAAATCCTGAAGCTGGGCCCGCGTCGGTGTTCTCGTCCATGCACTCCACGTGCTCCGTTCGATATCGCCAGAGGTCATCACGCTGCAGCTCCTGCACGCAAAACTGGAAACCCCCCTCAAACAAACACCTGAAACCTACTCCACACCCCATGGGTGGCTTATCGGAGATCAGGTTTCAGAGTGAAAAAAGGTTGCCGGACGTCATGGTGTTCTCCTAAACCCAAAACCCCAAAACCGAAACCCTTTAAACCCTAACTGGAAGTATGGCCCCCACAAAACATCTTATTTTTACTACTTTACCTCTCGGCCCTGATGTAACCTTGTAGCCGCAGGCCGTTCCAGGATAAGAAGGTCGAGGAACATTTGCTGATTTTCCGGGCTCTTCTGCTCAGAGTTCGGGCTGCTGAACCCTAAACCACCACCCAACACCCTTACATCCCCAACCCGAAAAACGACATGCTAAACTCCTCAGATCCTGACAAAGAACCCCACGCCCTACATTCACGAAAAATCCCAGATAAGAACCCTCCAACACAGCCCCAAATCAAAACCAGAAATGTAGAATTCTACCAATCTAAAACCTAGAAGAGCCCAAACCCCAAAAACTGTGCGACCCAAAGGCCGAATCTGAATCTTGAAGCTCACAGCCTCGCGGGGCTCTGCCAGGACATTCATGATCATGATATCTCGCCGGACGTCGTGAGTCATCTTCACCTGTCTCACCCAAACTGCATTTGGGGTGTCAGGCTCAGGGTTTTGGGTTTAACCCTAAACCCTAAACCCTAAGCCCTAAACCCCAAGGGTCTTACCTGAAACCCTGAACACCACAAGGATCATCGACATGGGGCTGAAGAATGCAGCGCACGCTGGGGTTGACGGATAGGGCTTATGGGGGTTTGAGGCTGAGGGTTTGGGTTTAGAGGCGGCGTGCATGAAGATGGCTACAACTTAACATGAACCCCACTCCCCCCCTTTTTATCGTCACAAAAACTTACTGTACCTGGATCTCGAACCCTGAGACCGTCCCGGAAGATCCCACGGAGGCTATGGTACAGGGTTTTAAGGTTTAAGGGCTTCTGGGTTTCAGGGAAGACCTCAATGCACTGAATCTTGAAATCCTCAAGTGACAAACCCCCTCAGCAGCTGAAGCGCTGTGAATCAACCAAGGCTCCCGGCATCTCGCTCTCAATCGATTGAGATTTAGGGTTTGGGGTTTAGGGTTTAGGGTTTAGGGTTTAGGGTTTAGGGTTTAGGGTTTAGGGTTTAGGGTTTAGGGTTTAGGGTTTAGGGTTTAGGGTTTAGGGTTTAGGGTTTAGGGTTTAGGGTTTAGGGTTCCTTACAAACCTGAACCCCCGCAAGTTCTCGTGCCAGGCCCCGCACCCGGCCACTCACGGCAGCCTGCAGGGAGGTGGTCCGATGGACCTGCATCAGTGGCTTTGCAAGGTTTAGGCCCTTTGAGGCCTTTAGGGCCTTTCGGGTTCATAGTTTCAGAACCAAACCTTTCCAGGAGATAAACATGCAAAGAACGAAGACGGAGTGTGTCATTTCAAAATGAGTGACCTGAGTGATCACTTGAGTCAGCGAGTTCGAGCTCTCAGATATCGGAGGCCCCATGCTCTCGGACCCGCGTACTACGCAAGGGCTGAGTCTGGAGGATCTGGGGCCTTGAGGCAACATGCTTCTCGCACGCAATGGAGCGACTGCAAGTCTCTGGGACCGGGAAAAGAAGCAGATCCCCCCTAGAAGCTACTAAGTGGGGGCGAATATAGAGCCCCAAATACAGGGATTCCTATACACCTATAGCCTTCCAAAGCCATGAGGCCTCAGAGGAACACAACTCCACGTCACTACTTGTGAGCAAGCAGGAGCGTCAAAACCCCGTCTGGATTTGGGGAGGCGAGCGGAAGGCCCAGCCGAGACGAAACGAAGATGTATGCTACAGCGCTCGGTGTACGCGAGCATGGAACAGGGCGTCAGGAGTCAGGAGACGGGTGTCTGGGTGGGGGGCTCAACTGACCCAAGCGCAGGCCAGAATGAAGGAGAACCGGAGAAACCCTCAACGAAGGCAGGAGGCCAGATGAGCGAGAGGGCCGGAGATGTGTGACAAGCGGCAAGCGAGCTTAGGGGTCAGTGAAGGGGCGGGCCTCGCCCGCGCCTGGCGACAGGCGACGGAGCACAGCACGGGCGTTCTCACGCTGCAGCACCACGGAGAGGCTTTGCAGGAGGCGATCCGTTTCAACCCCCGGACTATCGCCAGAGCGCGCCGCGATCAGGCCCGCGAGCTGGCGCCAGGTAGACGCAGCCGTTGGACCCCAACCACCGCTGCTTGCCTCGGCAACAAGCGGGACGAATTGGAGGCCTTCAGCTTTGCAGTGTTGCTCTGTCTGGAGGTGGGTGCGCTTGCGCGCCTCGTAGGCTTCAGCCGCGGCTACGCCGGAGCGCGCGGACTCAGACAGGACGGCTCCTGCACGGAGGCCGGAAGTGACGGCAAGGTCAAATGCGGCGGCGCCATGCAAGCCCCATTGCGCAACCCATACATCCGCTGGGCGGCGATGCCCGGCGCCCCGGCCACCATCCTCAGCACCATCACCATCCGGTCGCAGGGGAAGCAGGCCCGGCTTCTCGACCTCAACCCCAAGCCCAGCAGCCTGCACTCGAGCAGCAACCACGGCCCTGAGACGGTTATGGCGCTTGACTCGATCCCCGCCACATGGGCAGCAACGAGAATGGTCGCCAAAGCTGTCAGCGACACCGTCGCACAGGGGGCAATGCGTGTCTTCCGGAGAGACGGGGATCCCTGTATTCCCTTATCGTACGGACCCCAATGAGATGCCCCTAACTTCGGACACCCCCAAGTTGCTTCGGCTGGCAGTCCATCCGCAGCTTTTCTAGGCCAGCGGCATCTGACTGTCAGCCCACTGTTCAAGCCCTAGACCCCAACCCGGGCACCTTCACGTTGAGGCCAGGATAATACTTGAAGTGGCGCTTGCGGGTCACCTGGGTGTAGCAAGGAGCCGTTCAACACCTCTGCATGAAACTTAAAGCAGACATAGGCCATCGGAGCTCATCGGTATAGATACGTGGAATTCCCATTGAAAAACTAAAGAGACCAAACTATACTGCCCTTCACACAAATACTCATCATATACCATAACATACCCAAGAAACCTGAAACCCCGAACCCTGCATCCTGGGCCAATCTCCCTGGCTCATAGGTAGTTCTACATGTGGGGATCTTCGTACTATACCTGATGAACCTCCCAATGCATCCATGACAAAGGGAGTATCGTTAATGGCCTGTCCTGACGTTTGAGAAGTTGGTGAACGAGTACGAGAGTAAAGTATGATCAGAACTTGATGATTGGAACAACTATGAAAGGAATCCGCAAGAGTTGAGAAGACATCTGGTTGACATGAGTGACAAGACAACGTTTGCGGACATCAGAGCGAGATTGCTACAGTATGAGCAAAGCAGCCAGACCTGGTCTGCAGAAAACATACTGTCTTCGTTGGCAGTGGCGCAAGCACTCGAATCACCAGGGACCGATCCCGATGGAAATTGATGGAGTGTATTATGGGAACTATGGAAAAGGTGGAAAAGGAAAGGTGAGAAAGGAAGGAAAAGGCAAAGATCGAGAGGAAAAAAGGAAAGTATGGTCGAGGCCGGGGAGTTGGAAAAGGACGTGGAAAAGGAAAAGAGGCCGAGGCAAAGGACGAGGAAAGTCTGGAAGAAAATGTATTAGGCAGGTTGGAAAGGGCTACGGAAATTCTAAAGGAAAAGGAAAGGAATCAACTTGCTATATATGCGGAAAACCTGGACACTTTGCAGCTGATTGCTGGCAGAGATCGAGCAAAGGAAAAGGTGGAACCCTAAACCCTAACCCCTCAACCCCCTTATCCGCTTCTCTCGGGGGCCACGCATAGGGGTTCTTGGCCATGAACTTGCGCTGCCGACCTCTTTGAAGCAGTCGGACTGGGGAACCAGGGTTTGGGTGTGTTTTGGGCTCTCGAGATTCAAGGCCTTTCAAGGCTTGCTGCTTAGCTTTTTGGGTCGGCTGTGGGCTCCTTAAGGGGGTTTCAGGGTTGATAAGCTCAGGGCCTTGAGGCACCAGACGGGCTTCAGAGCAGAACCGACCCTTGGACTTGAGCTGTCGGGTCTCTAAATTCAGTTCCCCCTTCTTGGTCCCTACAATATTATGGCCCTCTACAGGTTGGGGACAATGAGGGATGAGGGTAGGGTTGACTTCGGCTTCAGAAAACTGCCTACGTGCTCCTGCTTTGGATGCTCAGCTGCCGGCAGATTATCTTCCCAGCTTCCTTGGGACTGTTGCTTGGGAGGTTCCAGTCTAGAGGGCTTCTCAAAAACAAACATCACAGAACAAGGCCAGCCCTAAACAAAAGCTGAGTTCGGGCTCCCCCAACCCAGATGCTATGTCGGCACCCTTCTTCCTTTTCTTCCTGGCCAGCCCATGGATTATGGATTCATGGATTCCTTGATGAGATGCCCCACCTGACCCACCAAGAGCTTATAACCCCTAGAAACCCACGGCTCCTAGAGCACGAACCCTCAAGCAACCCCATCAGTCGCTTCGCAGCCTACACACCTCATGATCTTCCCAGCTTCCACGTAGTCGGAGGGCAAAGCTTTCGGGCCCACGTGGGCCTGGAGGAAGGAGTTGCAAGGGTTTAGGGCCTAGGGTTTAGGGTTGAGGGTTTAGGGTTTATAGGGTTTAGGGTTCAGGGCTTAAGGCTAAGGATTCAGCATCACAAGTCAAAGCATTCACTAGCCAAGCAGCATGTCAAGGAGAAATACCAAATAACCCAATGGGTCCCCCAGCATCAGGAAAACTCATCCCAAACTCTAAAGGACAAACCCAATAAGCCTTAAACCCGAGATGCTGGGATGTCTCCCCCTGATACTAACAGTCCTTACTAGGGATTGTGGTGCCCCCTATTATCATCCCTATTAAGGTCTGATAGTACAAGGGGGAACATGCAGGGTCTGTGCGAAGAGCATGGTGATTCTTAGGTGCAGCTGGGGGTCTCGAGGTTTTTGGGGTCTCAGCAAGCAGAGCCGCGAGTATCTGTCTGGGCAAGATGAGAGAACCCGTAGCCCGAACCCTCAGCCCGTTCCTCAGAACGCTAAACCACACAAACCCAAACCACAATGCCCCAAAGCCCGGCCCTTTGGCTAAGGGCTTAGGGGTTCGGTTTTAGGGTTTCGGGTTTAGGGTGGAGCACAGGAAGTTCATCTCATCCCTTAACATACACAAGCGACACCAACTCACACTCTCAAGACAGACACGCTGAACCCTGCAGAGCCAGAAGCCCAGTAATCCTCAAAACCAAGGCCTTCAGGGGTTCGCGCTGGCCGCAAGGCTTCGCCTGGGGGAGAGATCACTCTGGGGACCCCCGCTCAACCCATCAACCCATGAGCCCAGAAACCAAAAAAGACCACAAGCCTACAAAGCCTATAACCCCTGAGCACATAAACCTATAAACCCATAAGCCCATAAGCCCATAAGCCCCCCAGAAACCTTTCTGAGGGCACTTTCAGGGGTTGGCAATGAACGTACGTGGCAATGAACGTACGTGAAAGGGGGTCCAGTGTTTGGGCAACCTTTTCAATGAGCGCGGGCGGCTACCACTTGGAGATTCACTGGCGACCGACAGCCCCGCAATCCGATCCTCCAGGCACCCACAGCGCAAAACCCTAAAGGCAGATACAGCGATTGTCAGCATTTTGCCTTTCTTTTGCGTAGCATGTGGTGGGGGAGCCAAAATCCGATGTTGTGGCTGTTCCAGGCTTTGTGCTCCTCCCACAAAGACGACACCAAAAGCAGGGAAATAGGCTGCTGGCACATGCACCACAACCCTAGAAGCTTCCCCTTGTACCCCCCAGGACCGCTGCCCCGGATTGCGTTGTATCTGCACTCTTTGCACCCAATCCGGTGTGCATTTGTTGCTCTGTTGAAAAAATGTGTCCGGCTGTAGAGTTTAGCGTTTAGGGCTCTCTGGGCCTCGGGGAACTTTAGGGTTTAGTAGGGCTCAGGGGGGACCTTCAGGGCTCTTTAGGGGGCTGGTTAGGGAGAAGGTCTTAGGGCTCGTGAGTGTTCAGGGCGTACGGTTCTTTAGCATTGATGAATGATTCTTGAGGGTTCGGGTTCTATTCTTCCATAGGGCTTAGGGCTCTTTGGGGTTTAGGGTCGCCAAAGGACCGGAACACCAGCGCACCAAACAAGTGCTCTGTTTTGGGAGCAAGCGTGTGCTCACCGGGTCTCTTCCACGGACCGATCAGCTCAAAGCGACCAGCTGAAAGCCGTTTGGCACTACATCTGTGGATCCCCAGGTGACAACCGTGTTGTCGCTGCACAAGCAGGCAAAAGCACCTAGCCTGTCATTGTTAGACCACGAAGTTCCGCAAACATCCTCCGCAAAACGTCCATGCAATGCATGCTTCGATGCTGCATTCAGTGTCGCGTCGCCGCTGTTGCTGCTGCCCCAGGCCACAACCGTGCCATCTAACATGACAGCAGCCCAAGCAAGCCCGTTGCAAGAGACACGCTTAACCTTTCGAAGCCTGGGCCAGTCAACTTCCACATCACCCCAGGAAAATGCCGAGCCATCTCGCTTCAAAGCAACAAAGCCAGCGGCGCCTTCGTTGGAGACAAGCGTGGCAACGTCCAGAAGTTGGCCTTTGATTGCAGCCACATCCCCTCCATACCGTGGGCACCCCCATGCTATCACAGTGTCGTCCGAGCGGATGGCAGCCATTGCGCCCCAGCTATTGCAAAAGCTCTTCACATTGCAAAGGTCGGCTTCGACGGATGTGCTATCACCTCCAAGATTGGCTTCTCCCCAAGTTGTCACTGTGCCGTCTCGGCATACTCCAGCAAAGGCATACGTGCCAGCAAAGATGCTCACATACGGCAAGTTGTTGATGATTCGTTGCCCCCAACTTGTCTCTACCGAACCATCGGCCTTGAGCACAATTGCGCTGTCGCTGTGGCCCCCGGATTCAAGAGCCACATCGACAACCTGTTCAAAAACGTCATACTTACCACCCCGCCACAGGATGGCTTTGCTGTCTGAGAGAAATGCGCAGAACATGCCAACACCGGCCTTGGTACGAATTACAGTCTTATCCTGCAAATACCTCTCAACTGCACGGTTGCCTGCTCCACAGAGAGTATAGCCCCAACTGAAGACCTTGCCATCTTTGCGCAATGCAAGAAAGGCGTGCCACGTCGCGCACACATTGACGATATCCCGTTGCAAAAAAGAATCGTCGACAGGACTTGTCCCATTATTCGAATCGCTCAGAACACTTGTACAGCCACCCAATCGCATGTTTCCCCAGGCTATAACAGCACCTCTCTGCGTAACAGCCGCAAAGGCATATTTTGCAGCACACACTTCTCGCACCTCTCCCAAACGGGAGCGAATGGCTGGGGAGATGAGACCGCCACAGTCTGCTTTACCCCAAGAGATGATGTCTCCTGAAAGAGTCAAGGCCGCAAAGGCCCCCGCAGTTGCGAAGAGACGCGGCAGCTTGCAATGCACAGCTGTGAGCGTCAAAGCATCACTCTCGGTCGCTATCCAATCACTTAGGGTACTCCTTGGAGACATCTGGATGCCACCAGGAGTGACAAGGGTACTGCGAAGGCCTGCTGTGCCTAGCAGATGTGCGACTTCGTAGACTGGTTTGTCGCAAGGAACATCATCTTCTTCCACCAGCACTTCGCCAGATGCGCTGCGAATGCAAAGCCGCAAGAACTGATTCTTCGCCAGGGAATGCGAGCGTTTCATGGTGTGAGCTGTTCTAAGCCAGCTCAGCTCACAGCATGCTTTAAAGCAGCTCATGGTGTGAATTCTAAGCCTGCTGCCACTACGCCCAGCCACTACTTACACCGTACCCACAACACCCGCTTCTCCCCCCACCCCCAAACCACTCACGGCTTCGTCTTTGGAGTGGCTGAGCTCGGAGAGGCTTGGTTGAGGTCTGAAGCCGAAAGCCTGAACCCTCATTGAACTCGTCTGCAGTCATGGCACGCGCGGCGGCTTCCAATAGGACCTTCGGCACTCCATGTAGGGCTTAGGAAAGCCCACCTAAGGGGAACAAACCAAGTGCCTCATGAGAAGGGAGGCGACCAGAGCCAAACCAAGCCGGGAACGTCCCCTGAACACTCAAGCACCCCTAAACCCCCAAGAAACCCTCAAGCCCCCTGAAGCCCCTTTGAAAACCCTCAACAAAGCTCCCTACATGGGAGTTTTGCGAACATAAGGGACCCGGAATATAGAACCCCAAATAGTAGGTCCCCTTATATTAACGACCAATAAGGTAGTCCGAATTTCGGAAACCCCCCAAAAAAAGATGCCTACAGAGCAAGAAGACCGAGGCTTTGGCTGTCGCTTCGTCTGCTTCTCCCGGGCCGCACCCAAAGGCGACGTGAACAGCGCGGGCAGAGGACTCAGGAGCCTCCAGGAGAGTTTGCTTAGGGTTTAGGGTTTAGGGTTTAGGGTTTGGGGTTTAGGGTTTAGGGTTCAGGGTTCAGGGTTCAGGGCTTAGTTTTTCTTCAAGCCTAAACAGGTTTTGTTGGGCAGCAAGGGGCCTCGGGGTTGAGGGCTTTGCAGGGGGGGTGCGGGGGGCGGCTTGAGCTCGAGGCTCCAAAGGCTTTCTTTGCTAGGTGTTCTAGGTGTTCTAGGTGTTCTAGGTGTTCTAGGTGTTCTAGGTGTTCTAGGGGCTTTCATGGTTCGGGGCTTTGCCGCCAGGTTCTCGGGGCTTAGGGCATCTAAAGGGGTTTGGGGTTTGGGCCTGGCGTTTAAGTGATACCGACTCGGCGGTTCAGAGCAAGAGGGCCCGCAAGCAGTAATCTGTTGATTTTGCATGTTCCAAATAAAGCGAAAGAGGCCAAAGACACCACCTCACCAAGCCTCCTGCACCCCTCAAGGCTTGCAAGATCCCATACCCTGAGAACCACTCTGCCTCGCGAGTGGCGCTGTGCTGCCCGTGGCCTCCACACGAAGGCACTTGTGCGCGATCAACAACTCGCCTTAACAACATCTTAACATAACATCATATAATATAATAAGCCCAAGAAGAGAACAGTGTTCCCGACACGTAAAGCGGACACCTGCAGCGATCGCGAGGCCGCCGTCCGAAGGGATGTCTGGAGGGCCTGAGGCTAAAGGCAGCTTGTGCCAGGTTTCTGCACTGAAGTCTTTTTGTGGGGGGCTTCGATACAAATAGGGCAGGTTGGAGGATTTCTTAGAGTTGCGGCTTCTGGGGAGCAGAGGGAGCTTCGGCAGGGATTGGTCAGGTCAAGCTCGTGTCTCTCGTACGGCCCTGACTAGCACTCTTAAGACTTATTACCCTAAACATGCCTAAGCCCACACCCTAATACAGTCCAGAAAGCCCCCACAATGCTAGCATCTCAAGACGACGAAGCATTAGATTCGTCAGTCCTCTCGTCTTGACATGGTTTAGGGTTCAGGGTTGGGGGGTTCCTCCTCGTTCCCGCCTGAGGACTCAGGGGAGGGGTCCGGTTGATAGGGGCTTATTTTCAAAGTTGAAACAACCCCCCTCTGCTCGAAGAACCCTGCGACCCAGCCGCCCGAAGCATAGCTCTCAGCCAACTCGGACCGTTGCTCTCAGGGGCCGTGGCTGAAGGTTAGCAGGGAGTTTACGGGATCGTATCAGGGCTACCCCCAGACTCGAGCACCACGAGGGCCCGGGCTTTGCTTGAAGGCTTGGACGTAGGGTTCGGGATCCAGGTTTTCTAGGTTTTCAGAGTTCGTGTGCCGAGCCGAAACAGCCGCAGGATCAGTGCTCCAGCCGAAGGTCTTTGAGGTTTAGGAGCCTGCCTTGCCTAAGGCGGATTCAGATTGAATGAAAGCTTGGGGCTTAAATGGGCTTCGGGCGGTTTAGGGCTCAGGGGTTTGGGGCTTAGGGCGCAGCAACACTGACTCTCGAAGACTGCAGCACAAAAACCGAACTGACCCACCCCGAAACATGCACACAGACACTCGTTGAGGAGTTGGGTGTTGTCGGAATGCTCAAAGGGAGGAGATCAGAGGAGGACGATGAAAAGCTGAGGAACAGGGTCTGGATCAATGGAGCTTGCCATGTGCCTTTTCAGGCATGCTATGCACGAATCCTGTGGCAACATGGTTATTCTGCTCTGTTGCCCGATGGTGGATAGCAGCTTCACCATGGGCCTGTGCCCCGTGCTCTAACGAACACACCAGCACACAAAGAAATACACAAGCAAAATGGCTGCCCCTCATTCCCATACCACCCCCCTTCAAGCCCAAGCCCCAAACCCTGAAACACTCCCACCCTTAAACCAAATCCCCCTGCCAGCAGCCCTGCCCATGGACCTTCGCCCACGACTCCGGCACATGGCAGTCCCAACAGCTGCGGGGTGTTGGGGTTCAGGGAGAGGGCTGCAGTACTTCTAGCACTTCGGGTGTTTAAGGCTTGGTGCAGTCTAGTGAAGAGTGAGGCTTGGTCCAGTATCCATGAGTTCAGTTCTGAAGCTTCTAGAAAGGGATTCGTAGGAAATGGGATCTCGAGTGCCTGCCCATCTAGCAGTAAAGGGAAGGGACCTTGTAAAACTACCAAGGGGCTTTGCTCTGAGAATGGTGTTGCGGCCGGGGATGCAGGACACATATAGAACACACAAGTCGCACAAGCGACTCCCGCTTTAGCATTCGGAACTCAAGCCTCCGCTGCTTCAGGGAGCGTGAGAGGGGGGGCCTTCTTTGCATCGCGGTTAGGTTCGATCCGATCCTGTTGACATGGGCACGTCTCCAACAGCCCGTCAGCAAGGGTCCACGCATGCACAAGATGAAGCATGCAAGTGTCATTGCAGATCCCGAGCGCCCACATACACCACAGAGGCATACGTCAAAAAAAACACAACGGGGTCAGAGTCTGCGACGTGAGCCCGCTGAACTGTGAGACCCGCGACCATTTGGTAGTGCCGCGCGGTCAGAGGCCCGGGCATGTGAAAGACAAGATTTGAAAGCTACAGCACAGGCTCTATCATAAAGTCCAAGAAAAGCTCCCTACATACCCACAACCTTTGGCTGGGCTGTAGCTTCAGAGCTCTGAGGCTTTCACTTGCCAAACCATACCAAAACACAGCGACTCTTGCACTGCTTGCGGAACCGGGTGATGGCTTTTCGTCAGAAGAGCAGTAACGCCTAGACGTGTTACTGTCAGGAAAGGTCCCACAAGACAGGATTCCCGAAAATAATCCCCCAAAAAAACTTGCTTCTGGTAGCGGTCATCTTCCCGGACATCTGTGCCTTTCGAAGGCGTCCCAAGATTGTAAAAAATGCACCGGTCGATTTTTAAAAGCCTCGACACGGACGTTCCCGTGCCGGCAACCTTGAACCCTACCCCGAAAACCCCGGAACATCCCCACAACTCTTAGCGCCACCACCCTACACCCCTAAGCCCAAAGACACAAAACCTTCACCTCTCTTGAATGACCCTGAGAACCGAAATCCTGACGCATCTAAATGATGGACTCGAGGCCGTTGCCCTCATTGCTCGGCTTCTGCTCCTGTCGACTGCAGGGTTTAGGGCTTAGGGTTTAGGGTTTAGGGTTTAGGGTTCAGGGTTCAGAGTTCAGGGTTCAGGGTTCAGGGTTCAGGGTTCAGGGTTTAGGGTTTAAGGTTTAATTGGGGGTTGACGAAGCTAAGGCCAGCGAGGCGCTGTTGTGGTCAGTGGTATCCCGGTCAAGAGCCATCCGAAACAGGAAGGGCCTCTACGAACACCTTGTGGTGGGGCGGGGATGCCCACAAGCTTTGAGTCTTTCCTACTCTCCCGCACTCGGGCCGAGAGTAGTGGCTCACTATAACTCCCTCCCTGCTTTCCCCGTCTCTATCGCGCCCTTTTGGGTGCCTCATCCATTTGACATATGACTGTTGTGAGTGAACCTGCCTACACCTCTGCCTATCATCCCTAGGGTCCCAGCTGTCTGTGTACCTCCCGATATGTCAACCTGAAACGCCTACTCCACCTGGACCTCGAAGCCTGCAATCTCCTGCGACTCAGGTCCGGCTGTGCGGCCCAACAGCACGGAGTCGCTTCGCTGCGGGCTCTGGGATGGCGACTTGCGGAAGCTCTTCCTTGTCTTCAGCCGCCTCCTCACGGGAATCTCTTGGACTTTTCTTTCTTTTGTGTTTGGGGGGGTGAGGGGGGGGGGGATAGGCAGGTCCTAATGTCTCCCATGTCTCCCTATGAGTCGGCCTCACAGTGGTGTGGGACTCAATGCCCGCGGCCTTGATCTGACGCAGCATGCTCTTGGACTCAAGGTCCGTAATCAAGCCTTGCTGCACAAACTGGTGGATGAATTCCGCCACTCTGTCCAGGATCAAGTCGCTGACAATGGAGCCATTGAAGATGTTCATGTCCTCTCCACCAATCAAGTTCAAGCTCGCCTGGGCATCCCGGATTTGGCGGCTGGACTCCAGCATCAGCGCGATGTCTTCGGCAGTGTCCGCCTCCTCACCGAGCAAGTCTAGCACCGCTTGCTGCGCATGATGGTGCGCGGTGATGAAGGAGACCATGGCGACGTAGGAATCCAGCTCATGCTGGACGATCCAGCCCAGGCGCAGGTCATGGATCCAAGTGCACCATGCAGCGAGGGAGTCTGCAAGGGCAAGTAACCTCTCAACAATGCTCTCTTTGGGGAGCATCTCCTGCAGCCTCGGCTGGCCCCCCTTAAACCCTCTGAACATCTTCCCCGGGAAAGACAGTAGCATCCAAACCCAAGAAGGGACAAGACGACAACATCCCAAGGGCCGAACCCAGCAACAAGGCCCAGTCGTGCAACTCCTTGTCCGTGTCGCTCAGCGCTGCGGCCAGGGAGTCCAGGAGCTTCAGCGCCGCAGGCGACTTCTTGGGCAGGTGCCGTGACTCCTGGGCTCATCTGATTGGAGTTCTTGGGTTCTTCTTGGGTTCTTCTTGGGTTCTTCTTGGGTTCTTCTTGGGTTCTTCTTGGGTTCTTCTTGGGTGGTTCTTGGGTTCTTCTTGGGTTCTTCTTGGGTTCTTCTTGGGTTCTTCTACAAAAAAGCTGCCTAACCTTCTTGGGTTCTTCTACAAAAAAGCTGCCTAACCTGGACCTCGAACCTCAAACCACGAGCAGCCCAAGCTCGATGAGGTCCCAGTACTTCTTCCGCACGATGCGCAAGAATGTCTCGCGGAGGATCTTCATCTTCAGCGGGTTGGCTGCGGGGTAGCTGCTCAGCTTGGCCGCGAGACTGCTGATCCTTTCCTTGGCCCGAGGTACACGAATCACGAGGCGCACCCGCAAGACATCCCTAACCTCGGCCCCCAGCCTCATCTGCTGCCTCACAACAGCATTCCCAGGAGAAGCCGAGTTTCGTCCGGCCCTTCTGGAGACACCCTCCGACACCACAGGATTGGGCTGGCAGGGGCCCGGCCCGACGGATGGGCCTCGGCCCGCAAGCCCAAATCTCATGGCAGCTTGGCAGAGCGGCTTGGACTAGGTTCGGGGTTGTTGTGGTGCTGTTGCTGCTGCTGGTTCTCTAGTTATTAATGTATATATGTATGTTTATATATATATATACATACATACATACATACATACATACATACATACATACATACATACATACATACATTCATATAGATAGATAGACAGATAGATAGATATATGTATATGTATATGTATATGTATATGTATATGTATATGTATATGTATATGTATATGTATATGTATATGTATATGTATATGTATATGTATATGTATATGTATGTGTATGTGTATGTGTATGTGTATGTGTATGTGTATATGCATGCGTATGTGTATGTGTATGTGGATGTGTACAGTATGTGTATATATATGTATGTATGTATGTATGTACGTACGTATGTATGTATGTATATACACATATATATCTATATATACGTACATATATAATGATGTGTGTGTGCATGTACATATTGATAATTGTACTCGTTTTTTTCATGAGCTGGGCCTCCTCCGTGCCCTTCAAGTCGTGGAGGGCTGGGAGGGTATCAAGGGCTTGCACCGCGTCCACCCTCATGTTCGAGCAGATCTCCTGCATGGCTTTAGGCTCGATGGGGCGTAAGCTTGATACTTGGCAGAGGGTGAGAGTTTGTTTTTAGAGGATGTTGGGTTGCTTCGACCCTCCGTTCAGAGGTCTCCTTGTACTGCAACCTGGCATACTTCGAGACATGTGCAGAGATGTGATCGAGATACTGCTGCTTGGTTTCGCTGGAGGACTGGCTCTCGACACCCACAAGCTTGACAACCAGCTTTGTTGCGGCAGTGTTCAACACCATGCTGAGGAACGACTGCCCTGCCAGGAGGAAGACCATCCGGTCACCAATGGCCTGTTCATCTGCTACGATCAGGGCCGATCGAGCCGACATTGCAAACGCAAGGCTCACAGCCCCACGAACACCGCCCAAAATCACGAAGGCGTATTCTCGAGACTTGAGCCCGACCCCGATGCTGCTGAGAAGTGGGTAGGATGCAAGGACCACCACAGCGCGGATCAGCAGCATCAACAAGAAGAGCGCCACACAGTAACCACAGTCCACAAGAGTCACGCTTGCAGAAAGGGTGGCCCGGTGCGTGATCATCCCGGCGATCGTGAAGATCAGCGCGCTGGTGACGAACTCGAGCACCCTCCAGAAGTTCTTCAAGACTTCGGCAGAGCAAAGCAGGGGCCCGATGTACCTGGGCTTATGGCTCCCCAGGGTTGCTTAAAAAAAAAGGACGACCCCTCCCCCTAACCATGATACCAAGACCCTTAAAGATGCTTCTCCTGACCCTGAAAAACGGGCCCTTCAGGCCAGTTCAGCAAAACCCCCAAAACCCCCACAACCCCCAAAACCCCCCAAACCCGCAAAACCCCAAAACCCCCCAAAACCCCCGAAAACCCCCCCAAAACCCCCCAGGCATGGGGGGCCCGCGCCTGGTAAGAGCCAGCGCGGCGACGCTGGTGGTGCGGATGCCGTTGCTTCCATACCTTATTCCCCCCCTTAGAACCCTATAGGGTTTAGGGTTTAGGGTTTAGGTTTTAGGGTTTAGGCTTTAGGCTTTAGGCTTTAGGCTTTAGGCTTTAGGGTTTAGGGTTTAGGGTTCAGGGTTTAGGGTCTAGGGTCTAGGGTCTAGGGTTTAGGGTTTAGGGTTTAGGGTTTAGGGTTCAGGGTTTGGGTTTAGAATACTGATATCCTCTCGGGTTTTATATAAACAAAAGTACGAAATAATTCCCAAGGGGGATATAGATACTCCATCTCAGAGATGTAGAAGGAAAAAAAGGCCACGAACCTGGAAGGCTGCTGGACAGGGGGTGGGGACCCTCATCCCTGGGCCCCAAAGTGAGGGGGCAAGCTTGGGACAAGCCAAGAGGCATGGTCACACAAGTTTGCACCACCAGGTGGACGGAGCTGTGGCTGTCCGAGGCGCACCACATCCAAGCATAGCCGAACCATCCCACGAGCATGCCCAAGATGGGAGCAAGGACCACGACCTGCCATCAGATGCCATATCAGGCCTTGTACTTTATCGTGCGTACGGTTGACAACTGTATAGGGCTTAGGGCCGAAGCCCCCACATGAATGGAGTATCTGGGAACGTCTGAGGACTGCAGAGGGCCAAAAAAAAACGACCCAAAGGCTTCGTCGGTTAAGTCGCTCCCGCGGCCTGGAGGAAGAAGATCAGCAAGGCACCTGCCTGCACATCCATCCAGTCCATGAAAAGCCTCGACTCATCAAGGTCGAAGAAAGGAAACCCCCCCCAAAAAAAAGACAGAGTTTGTGAATGAGGGGCTCGGAATCCACCAAAAAACAGGAACCTGTAAAGCAGAATGCAGCTCCAAAAGCATGAAGAAAAGCGTGAAGAAGATCATCGCGATGCCCTGACTCAAGGCGCTCTCGCTGGTGATGAGCCTTTGCTGTTCAAGAACCCGTCCTTCGGTTTTGTGGCATTCGGTTCGAGTTTGTGGACTGAGCAAAACCCCTTGATCCCCAAAGCGACTTCTGCAACATTCTGCCTCCGAAAAGTGCACGGGACATAGGCTGAAGAACGATTCCGAGCACGGACCATGCACGGGACCACGGCGAGAGCACGATGTGTCTTGACTGTTTTTTGCTGGCCCTGAACATCGATTTCCAATTCTCTTTCTTGATGATGAAGCATCATATCCCTTCTGCAGGCCTTTTAGCTATGATCAAGTGCAGTATCTGAAAAGGGCGATTTGACTTGTGCGAGTTCACAGGTGTCTTGGCAGCATTAACCCTAAACCCTAACCTCTAATCTAAGGGTTGGTTTCCTTAGGTTATGAGCCCAAGGGCTCTAGGGCTTAGCGCTTAGATTAACTTCCTGGTTGGTCTAGCCTTTGCAAATCTTATTCTAAACGAGAGACATCCGAGAGTCGCTGCTGTGAGCCATGGACTTGAGCATGAGGAGAGGAAGATCTCCCGCGGGCCAGACAGGCCAGACCCCTTCGTCAATGGGCACAGCTTCGAGGATGGCCTCGCCGCCTGCTACACCAGCAGAGATATCGCGAGAAGTGCGTGTGGATGAGACTTCTCTTGAGCCGAGCTATGATACATCCCAGCAGATACAAGGTGGTGAAGCGCTACAACTTGGAAGGTCAGAGGCCAGCACAGGGCAAGGGCCGAGAGGGCAAGGGCCGAGCAACTCCGAGAACGCGCAGCACTTCAGCTTGAATGAGGCCTGGGAAGCGGCTCAGCAACAGGAGGAGATTTCGGTTAATGACGCTCGAGAACGCAATAGAACGATGAGATCTCTTGATCAGAACGATGGTGACAATATGCAGATACATAGGCAACGATCTCTTGATCGGGACAACGATGAGACCGCCACGTCTTTAAGACAGACAATTTCAGGGTCCCCAGGACCAGGATCTCTTGATCCAGACGCGTCACGACGAGGATCTCTTGATCCGACCAGCGATCCACGGGGAGGTCAGTCAAGTTGGAACGCGTTGGAGGCACTACGAAGTTCTTTGAGATCAGTTGGCTTGGGAACCAGAAGTGATGAGCAGAACTTGGCAGTTGCTGGTCGTGCGCAGCAAGGGCCTGAAGAGAGGATGAGTCCTCTCCCACTGGCAGGGGCCTGCGTTGGGACAGGGCCTCTGGCAGTGCGGGAGACCCCTCAGACTCAGGGAGCTCTTGCGGCGCAGGACCTGGCACAGGTTGGGTCTAGTGGTTTAGGGGTGCGTGGTGTAGAAGGTTTGCTGTACAGGGATCCGATGTCGCATAGCGGGCAAAGCCGGCATTCAGGTAGCGAACTTGCACAACTTGTAGAGGGCATGAGCCAGATGCAGGGTCTTCTGCAGGGTGTCCATGCAAGGCTGCAGAGCCTTGAAGAAGCGCGGAGTGTGGGATCAGGTGGATCTAGAAACACTTACAGCCTAGGTAGGGTAGATATGGAAGCCTTAAGGGCACATTTTGGTGCTTTGGAAATGGATCCATCTGCTCCTAGGAATCCGCCTGTAGCTCCAGGCCTTGATGGTAGGGAACTAGCGACGCCAGAGCATCCAGTAGAAGCCTATCCCATCCCTCTACATTTCAGAACGTCGCAAGCGAGCTCCCCGATAGCAACTAGGCCGGTAGAACAACACTTTATCGGGTCACCTGACAGTTTTGGTAGCCAACCTCATGCCCCTTTAACCTCGACATTCCAAAGACCCTTGATGCACTTATGGGAAATTGATGCTGGAGTAGGCCTCAGAAGTAGGGAGAGCGCGAGCGATGGCTCCTTGGACCTGTGGGGACAAAGTAGGGGTGATAAGGGGATAGGAAAAGGGAATCCTGAACCTCGAAGCCCTGCTCCCCTCCAGGCCCCAATCAATTCCTCTCTGCAAGGCCAAGTAGGTCCCAGCATTCCGCCAGATCCCGTGCCGACTGTGGCACAAAGGACCGCTCCGGCCCAGGAGCTTACGGTGTGGATAGGGGATGTAGAGTATGAAGTGGGCTTTGAAGGGGGTAGAGCTACAGTCAAGGGAAGGGTTGATAGAGGTTTGGATTTCGGTTGCAGTAGGCCAGCGTACAGGCCGCCGTCTCCTCCGCCTCGGCCACCCCAAACAACACCGCCTCCAAGCCCCCCAGCACACGTTCCTTTTGTGCATCAGGAAATGACCGCAAGTAGTAGCCAGCAAGCATTTGTGCCAGGAGCTTCTGTGCCTGTTCTGAGTATGTACCCACGCCCTTTGATGGAGTCTATGCCGGACATGAGAGCGCATGATGATGCTAGGGCGTATGCTCCAGATAGAAGCCGTGAAATCATGTTACCAACTCTTGAAATAACTCCAGAAGAGGGACCGCTAGCAGTAGGGGATTGGCTAACGCTAATTGCTCCACTTATCTCGGACTTGGCGCCGGCAGCGTCGACTTGGTGGGGTTTGGTTGCAGCAGAAGCAGACCGACGCTACAAAGTGTGGCTTCAGTCCCCGCCGCTTGACAGAGCGGCGCTGAAAGGAGCGCTCCACGAGAATCTGCAGGAACCACGCTACATGCGGTTGGAGCAGAGGACGGTTTCGATGCTCATCAAGGCTTTGCCTAAGGATCTCTCTGAAGAACTCATATCGCAAGGGGATCTGACAACGGTTGGCGTGCTATTCAGGGTGTTGATTAAGGGTCAGCCTGGCGGGGCCAAAGAGCGACAACTTATCCTCTCTTATCTACACAACCCAGGTGTGGCTAGTAGTCCTTCGGATGCGAACTTAAAGTTAAGACGATGGTCACGGTGGGCCTCCCGGGGGAGGCAGTTGGGTATTTCGATGCCTGATCCGTCTCTTCTTCTCAAGGGAATCGACTCGTTGATGGCGGGAGTTCTCAAGAGCTACACGCAAGCCAGCTTTAGACTGTCCTTTGTCAGGGTACAGAGCAGCCTAGACCATGCACCCACGCTGGAGTCAGTCCTTTCGTACTTGAAGCATGTTCAGGCCGAAGCGGAGCTTCTCGAGTATGGGTTGGAGTCAGATCCCAAGAAGCCACGCGTAGCAAAGGCCACTGAGACTGATGATGTAGCAAGCCCAAACGCCCCAAACAACCCTAGGAAAGGATCTCCAAAAGGGAAGCCTAAAGGGAAGCCGAAGGGTAAAGACCAAGGGGGTTCCGGGGGTTCCGGGGGTACAAGGGAAGGGCAGGAAAATAAGCCGACGTGCAAGGGGTACCTAACGCCGCGCGGGTGTGCTTTTGGGGATAATTGTAGAAACCTGCACGACTTTGCAGAAGCTGCTCGGCAACAAGTATGTTATGCTTGCGGAGCCACAGATCCCGCAACGAATCATCGTCGTCCTGAATGCCCTACTCTTCAAGGTCCTCAGTTCAAGAAAGGGGATAAGGGAGGCAAGGGCGGTAAGGGCAACAAGGGTAACAAGGGTGGGCCTCCAAAAGGAGGCAAGCCGAACATTGCAGCGGCTACAGTAGAAACCCCAGGACCTGTCATCGCCGAAGTTGCTACAAACGCATCTACACATAGCGGAAACACCTCCGCAGCTGCAGGGACATCCGCAGAGCAAGAAGCTGGTCGGGTCTTGAAAGGGATTCGTTTGGCATGTCTTCAGGGGCCCGGAGTGGCATCCTTGCAGGATGGGGGGAGTCCGGTTTCGTTTGGTCCGGTTTCGTTTGGTGCTTCAACTTCGGATTTGAAGGTCAGTTGTGGTCCGGGGGGAATTGGGGAGGTTGCTTCGAATTTACAGGAATCACCTAGAAGTAGTGAGGGCGGGGTTCCGAAATGGACTCGCTCAAGGGCAGATGTTCGGTTAGAGCCGCAAGGGACCGTTCATCCAGATTGGCTAGAGCCGGAAGGGGCCAATCGCCTGAGCTGGCTAGAGCCAGATGGGGCCAGCGAGAGCAGGGATCGGCTAGAGCCGGATGGAGCCGACATGGGTGATTTCCGTGAATTGAAGCTTCCAGGGTTTGAAAAGGATGTTCCTAGGTTCTGTACGTTTGGTGTAGAGGTTGTTGTTGGTGAAGATGAGCGTATTTCAGTTGCAGAAGCTTTCTTGGATTCAGGCGCGACTCATGTGTACCGATATGCGCAAGTCAGAGAGTATCAATCTGCAGTGGCCTGTGACATTATGCTTCCGGTAGGTCTATCTGTAGGGCGAATGTCATCAAAGGGGTCCTTGCTTTCCATGGACACGAAGCCTGCGGTAATCCCTCTGGGAAAGGTGGTTGAGGTCCTAGGATGTGAAGTCCGTTGGGATTTTCAGGGACCACTTGTCAAGCATCCACTAAGAGGGCTTTTGGGTGTAAGGACTGTTCATGGCAGGATGGTCCTAGGAGTAGCAGATGCCCGAGCTCTGGTCGATGAACTAGAGACTGCGTGGGAGCTAGGGGTTACTCGTGAAGATCCAAGCCCATCGTTGCGGGTAGTGGAATCTGCGGGGAGCCAAGGGCAACCGTGCGTGTCTGTGAGATTTCTGAAAGCGGAAGAAAACACCTTGGGACTAATCGATGGCGGGGCTACTAACGCGCTTCGTCAAGGATCTGCCAAGGAGCTTCAGCAGGCTAGTGTAGTAAAAGTGGAGTTGGCTGCTGGACAAACTGAGCTTCGGATGAATGAGCAAGGCACCCTGCTCACTGCGCATAGGGTCACTCCGATACTGCCTCTAGGGCCCGCGATTGAGTGTCTGGGTATGGTTTTAGAGTGGTCAACAGAGGGGATTCGCCTGACTCACCCTACGAGAGGTGAGCTTCCGGTTACCTTGGTCAAGGGTTGTCCTATGATCGCTCAAGAGTTGCTGATGGACTTGATTCTGGAATTGGAGGACAAGATCAGAGTCAGGGAACTGAGAGTCAAGGCTATGCAGTTAAGTGAGAGTCCGGATTTTGAGATCCAAGGGTCTTTGAAGGAGGCTCTAAATGCCTGTAGGGGAGATGCCAAGAAAGAGTCAGTCGTTCTGGCTGCATAC